TTTTGGGGGGGGGGGAGGGGGGGGGGGGGGGGGGGGAATTGGACGCGACGCTTTACTACATTGAAGATCGTCATGAACGGTGTAAGATCCGTGGTTCCGTCGTATGAGTCTATTTTGATTTTTTTGAGATGTCTCACCGACGAGTTGGCGATGCGGCTTGTAAACGGCGTGTTCTGCGTCTCCTCCAGAAAGCGGTCTATTTCGGCAGTCGAGCTTGTTGCTTGATGGACTATGGAGTTCATCTGATGTATTTGGGCCCTCACGTTCATGAGCTCGTCGTTCTGTCGATTTTGGCGACGATCGTTGATAGCGGGATGTTCGTGAGTTGTTTGCTCTTGTCGAAAGATTGTGGGGGGCTCCGCGGCTTGTTCGGCTGGAGCCGGAGTCATTTCGTTGAACAGGTTTTGCTGTTTTCGAGGAGCGAGGGTGACTTGTCTTGGCGCTCGTTCTCGGTTATCATTACGGAGCTCGTCGATACGAGCGTGACAGACATGCTTAGCCGTGGCCAGCTCGTCGAGTCGTTCGTTTACTCCTTGAGCATTGCTACTCATCTGGGCGAGGAGCATCTGTAGCAAGCTCGAGACGTCGGTTTGTGCTGGTGCTCCACTCACCGACGCCTCCTGTCTTGCGATGTTAGGAATCATCCTTGTTGCTCTGTCTGGATTGGAGAGAGGCGTCGTCGTAGTTAGGAATGCCGGTCCTGTAGGCGGGGTGTATGTTGGATAGGCTGGAGCCATCGAGGTTAGCCTTGCGGATGATTCTCCTAAGATTGCTGTCGAGCTCTGCTCCCCTGATATCAGAGAGGCTGGCGGGAGTGACACCGATGAGGTCGGCAAGAGAAACACTACGGGGTCGGTAAGAGCGACGCTGAGGATGTCGGTAAGGGCGATACTACGGGGGTCGGCGAGAGCGATGCTAAGGAGGTCGGCATGGGTGACTCTGAGAAGGTCGGCATAGGCGACTCTGAGAAGGTCGGCATCGGCGACGCTGAGGAGGTCGGCATGGGCGGACCAATGGCAGACAGAGTCTGTTCTGTCATCGCCAAACTCGTGTTCATTACTTAAAACGTAGTACCCTCTCTGGAGCGCCAACTGTTGGTTACTAGAATCCAACTTTTGGGTAATACGTTCTTTATTAATGATACGAGCTGATCGATTACAAAACGAGACTGAGAAAAAGTACTAAAAAGAGGTTCCCGAAATAGGGATTCCCGAATGAGAAGCTAGAAAATGAGAACCTCAGCAAAGTGAGAAGCTACAGAAAATGGGAAGCTAGACACGTAATTAGAGCATAATTCCGCAAAATCCAGAGAAAAAATGTCCTTTTCGTACAGGGGTACGATCCTATTTATAGTAAATTAGGGCGGTGGCTTCATTGGGCTTCGCAGGCTTTCTGGTAGAATGGACCTTGTTGGGCTTCATCTTCAAATTTGGGCCGAGCTGATGCTGTTTGGGCTTCATTCTCGAATCTGGGCCGAACTGACACTGTTGAGCTTTATTCTCGAATTTGGGCCGAACGTTATTTCTTCTTTCTTGGGCCTAAAGCTTGATTCGGGCCGAACTAATTAATTGGGCCTTAAAGAGGTCTGGTACCAACAGGTTGGATTATTTTTATAGGCCTTCGTTTTTTCTTTTCAAACTAGGTATATAACTCGCGCTATGCGCGAGTCTGTATTAATATTTTAGTTTTTTTTAGCTACTATCTTTAAAATTATTAAAAATTATAGAAATTTATAGAAATTTTCATTTATATAAGAGAATTTAATACATAATGTGTAATTTATCCTATTTTTATTTATAAATTTTTAAAAACTATTAGGTAAAATAATAACAATGACACTTATCGAATTATCCAACTTTGACGTACATATACATTTGATTTAGAGAAATATAATATTGCTAAGATTTTGGTATTAATTTCTGTTTTCCATAAAATTTCTTTCTTGAAGGTTTATGTGTTCAAATATTTAGTTTTTTATTGAAAGTCTTAGTGATGTTGTGTACCACTGTATATATAATCCATGATTCATGTTGATTCACATTTAATTTTGTTAGGAAGCTGTAATGATCATGCAAAATCATTTTTTCTATTCTCTATCATGTCTTCCAAGAGTTGTATGTTATATTTTTATTCAGTTTTAATTGTTTTAATTGTTATATCAACTTGTTGTAGATTTTTTTAAAATTGATAATTGATAATGGTTACTTTTTTTATATACATGTATTGTCAATTGTTATTTTTTTTATTTAACTTTTAAATTTTTAAACTATATTAATATTTTCTGATTTAATAAATATGTTGATTTGGATCAATCAGATTGAATTTAATTTTTTTGTTGGACATAATTTGTTAAATTAACTTTTAATATTTTAATTATACTTAAAAAAATTTGGTTTGATTTAAAAGCTGATTAAATCATTCTTAACATTTTTTGTTCAATGAATATACTGATGTGGACCAATCAGATCGAGTTTTTTAATCTCATGTGGACGCCCTCAATGCACTATGCTATCAACTTTTATATAATATACGATGTTTTAGAGAAATTAGAATATGTCTATCGGTGTATTTGATAAGGGTTTCTTATTAATATAAAAATTAAAAAAATAGAAAAAGTAGATGAAGGAGAAAGAGAAGTTTCTTAAATGAGTAATTATACATACGATCTTAAAGATTTTTTACACCTTTTTGCATTTAATTAGTTCAAAAAGTTTGAAGCTATTAAAACTTAAATAAATTATTACATTTTATTAAAATATTTGGGATTCCTCCATTATTTTTGGGATTCCTCCATTACATCTTAGTGGACCACTTCAACTTTTTGGGATTCCTCCATTATTTTTGGATTCGGATACGTTTCGTTTAAAACCTTGCCTGTGACTGTATATATGAACATTCAAAAGAAGATCAATCTTGCCGCCCACGTAGGCAAATCTCACCCACACAAAAATAATTGGTTAGTCTTCTTATCGATTAGAAGAAAATTCGAACTTTGCAATGTTTAAATCGTCGAAGTGGACCAATGTTGAAACATTTGACCACGTTTTCTTATGTTTTAAATCTCTCGTCCCACATGCATAGAATGCTTATATAACTCTACTCTCCTTAGTCACAAGTAACCATATTCAAACACTTCCCAGTTCCCACCCTATGGAACCAATCGCATTTCGCCACGTGGTGGCCATGCCTTGGCCCGGAAGAGGCCACATCAACCCGATGATGAACCTCTGCAAACACCTCGTTCGCCGATACCCAAACCTCACAGTCACATTTGTCGTCACCGAAGAATGGCTAGGGTTTATCGGATCCGACCCGAAACCCGATAGGATCCAGTTCGCCACACTCCCCAATCTCATCCCCTCGGAGCTCGTCCGAGCCAAAGACTTCATCGGCTTCATCGACGCCGTGTTCACCAGATTGGAGGAGCCGTTCGAACGGCTGCTTGACCGCCTCAACTCTCCACCTGCCACCGCAATCATCGCCGACACTAACGTCATTTGGGCGGTGCGTGTCGGGGAGCGAAGAAATATTCCGGTGGGGTCTCTTTGGACTATGTCGGCAACGTTTCTCACCCTCTTACTTCACTCCGATCTACTCATAAGTCACGGCCATGCTCTGTTCGAACCTTCAGGTAAAAAACCACTCAATAGTTGCAAAGACCTCTCTTTTATAACGTAGTAAGCTTTTAAAAATCTATACTTTAAATTGAAATTGATTATTTTTTGTAGAATCAAAAGAAGATAAAATCGTAGACTACATCCCTGGTCTATCTCCGACGAAACTCCAGGATCTTCCGCCGTTATTCGACAGCTACAACCACCGAGTTCTCAAGAAATTTAAGTTGTTTCTAAATGAGATACCGAGAGCTAAATGCCTTCTCTTCACCACCGCCTATGAACTCGAACCTAAAGCCATTGACGTTCTCACCTCCAAGCTCGATATCCCGGTTTACGCCACTGGTCCTTTAATACCTTTCGAAGAACTCATCGCCGGAAATGACGGCAGCGAACCTGACTACATCCAGTGGCTTGATAAGCAACCGGAAAGCTCTGTTCTTTACATATCTCAGGGGAGTTTTCTTTCGGTTTCGGAAGCTCAGATGGAGGAAATAGTGGTGGGAGTGAAACAGAGCGGAGTCCGGTTCCTTTGGGTGGCTCGTGGGAGCGAGTCGAAGATGAAGGAGGCTCTTAAAGGTAGCTCAGGTATAGTAGTGAGCTGGTGCGACCAGCTCCGTGTGCTGAGCCACGAAGCTGTAGGCGGGTTTTGGACGCATTGTGGGTTTAACTCGACATTGGAAGGGATATACTCTGGTGTGCCGATGCTGGCTTTTCCGCTGTTATGGGATCAGATTCTGAACGCTAAGATGATTGTTGAGGAGTGGAAGGTCGGGGTGAAGATCGAGAGGAGGAAGAAGACGGAGTTGTTGATAGTGAGAGACGAGATCAAGGAAGTAGTGAAGAGGTTAATGGATGGAGAGAGTGAAGAAGGGAAGGAGATGAGAAGAAGGGCTTTTGACCTCAGTGAGATTTGTAGAGGAGCTGTTGCAGGAAGCGGTTCGTCTAATGCTAGCATCGACGCTTTCATTAGGGATATTATCGATTCAACTTAAGAGTCTCAATGAGATTTTGTTGCAGTTTGGCACATTGTTGTTGTTACAGTTGAATGTTAGGGATCTTCTTTATTCATCTTAGTGAAGGAGAAGAGAAGAAGAGCTTCTGATCTGAGTTAGACCTGTTGAGAATGACCCAATGTTGGAGCTTTGTTGTTTGGCACATTGTTGTTACAATGAATGGTTACTGCTGATTTTTTGTTCTTTTTTTTATGTTCAATTGACATTAGACGTTGTTCTCCACATTCACATATCAATAAGTTGAGTCACTGAAAACTTTTTTAACACACAACACAACAAAAGTGATGAAGCAAAAGACAACTTTTTGTGAAATCATTTTAACTTTATAGCCTAAAACATTTATCAGGTTCGAACAACATATATTCTCATCACCATATCTATATTAGTCCACTCATTAGTCACAGTGAACAGAATCACATATGGATATAATTCAAACTCAGCCATTCGCACTCCGCCACGTGGTGGCAATGCCTTGGCCAGGAAGAGGCCACATCAACCCAATGATGAACCTCTGCAAACGCCTCATCCTCCGAGACCCTAACCTCATCGTCACGTTCGTCGTCACTGAAGAATGGCTCGGGTTCATCGGATCCGACCCGAAACCCGACCGGTTCTATTTCGCCACCCTCCCAAACGTCATCCCCTCCGAGCTCGTCCGAGCCAACGACTTCATCGGTTTCGTCGACGCCGTCCTCACCAGATTGGAGGAGCCGTTCGAGCGGCTCTTCGACCGGCTAAATTCGCCGCCTCCCACCGCAATCATCTCCGACACATTCGTCGATTGGGCAGTGCGTGTCGGCACACGGAGGAATATTCCGGTGGCTTCTTTCTGGACTACTTCGGCCACCATTCTCTCCCTCTTCATTCACTCCGATCTAGTCGCAACTCACGGCCATTTTCCGATCGAACCATCAGGTAAAAAACCACTCAACGGCTCCAATTTCAAATAGCAAAAATCTCTCTCCTTTAATAACTTGACAGCGTAGAAATTCGAAAAATTGATACTTTAAACTGTAATTGGTAGCGAAAGTTCAAAAATTTGCTTATGTTTTATCGATAAATTCGTGATTCTTGAATCCGGGTTTGTTTTCTAGAGTCAGAAGAAGACGAAATTGTTGATTACATTCCCGGTTTATCTCCGACGAGACTCCGTGACTTGCCGCAGATCTTCTACGGCTACACCCACCAGGTCTTCAATAAATTTAAGCCGTGCTTCGACGAGCTCTCAAAAGCTAAGTATCTTCTCTTCCCCTCTGCTTACGAGCTGGAGCCAAAAGCCATCGACTTTTTCACTTCCAAGTTTGATTTCCCGGTTTACGCCACCGGTCCGTTAATACCTTTCGAACAACTCTCGCTTGGAAATGACGGCGGCGAACCCGATTACATCCAGTGGCTTGACAAGCAACCGGAAAGCTCTGTGCTTTACATATCTCAGGGGAGTTTTCTCTCGGTCTCGGAAGCTCAGATGGAGGAAATAGTGGTAGGAGTGAAACAGAGCCGAGTCCGGTTCGTGTGGGTGGCTCGTGGAGGCGAGTCGAAGCTGAAGGAAGCTCTTGAAGGTAGCTCGGGTGTTGTCGTGAGCTGGTGCGATCAGCTTCGCGTGCTGTGTCATAGAGCTGTTGGCGGATTTTGGACGCATTGTGGGTTTAACTCCACATTAGAAGGGATATATTCTGGAGTACCGATGCTGACATTTCCGTTGTTTTGGGATCAGTCTTTGAACGCTAAGATGATTGTTGACGAGTGGAGGATCGGAATGAGGATCGAGGGGAAGAAGAAGACTACGACGGAAGCGCTGATAAGTAGAGAGGAGATCATGGAGCTTGTGGAAAGGTTTATGGATGTAGAGAGTGAAGAAGGGAGAGAGATGAGAAGAAGGGCTTTTGATCTGAGTGAGATATGTCGACGAGCGGTAGAGAAAAGAGGTTCTTCTGATGTTAACATTGACGCATTCATTCAAGAACTTACCAAGATCGGATGAGTTTTTTGTTTGTTTGTTGTAAGGTTCGATTATAGTTTAAAAGTTATGGTGTATGAGTGAGTATTTGTATGTGTTTGTAGAGATTTACGATTGTTTACAGAACATTCGGTTTTGTTTAAGAGTTTAATTTGTGAAACTCTTGATCTCTCTGGTAGTGCTTTTTGGGTTCTTAACCATTCTATTTCTTGATTTACAGTGTTGATTTTCATATCAGAGACTAATCTCTCGCTCTTAGTAGATATGAAAGGGATGTCAATCAATAAAAATGCTGATGGAAAAAAACAAGAAAATAAAACAGTAATTTTAAACCAAATAGAAACTAAAGAAACGAAACAAGGGTTGAACAAAAGTGGACTTAATTACTTAATTAGAGAAACTCTCAACCTAATCTTAAACCAAATAGAACCTGAAATATTTTTTACATGGTGAACCTAATTTTTGTTGCCAAGCTTTTCCCTTCAGTTTACATGGTGAACCTAATTTAAAATGGTTCTAAAACCTGAAATTTATATAAGCAAATTAAACCAAATTTATTGACCAACAAAAAGCTGTTTAAGACGAAAAAGAAGAAGGAAAAGCTGTAATAGAAAATAAAAATAAGTATTTGTAGATATGAGAACTTCTAAAGTTCTCAAAATTTGAATAGGATTAGGTCTTCAATCTGTAATTACTTGAGTGAAAAGGAAAGTAAATACGAGAGGAAACTTATGTTGTGAATATATCCTCAAAGGAATAGGATTATTATTATGAGCGGTGCACCAAACCATCTATATAAACACTAACTCCCCCTTTTAATTTCTAACCAAACAAACTCAAAACTTCAGCAATCTCTCTCAAACTCGTTGTCCTTAATTCTCTCGTTCCAGGTAAAAAAACAAAGAGGAAGAACAAAAACATCAATCATGGCTTTGATCAAGAGAAACGCCTTCTTCACTTCTTTACTTGTTCTCGTGGCTCTCTTTGGAGTTGCTGTTGGAGGAACTGTTCACAAAGTCGGCGACTCGAGCGGGTGGACTATGATGGGGGCCAATTACGAAGCTTGGGCTTCTTCAAGAACTTTTCAAGTCGGAGACTCTTTAGTTTTCGAATACAACAACGACTTCCACGACGTCACTGAAGTGACCCACAATGATTTCGTGCTGTGTGAATCGTCTAAACCGTTAGCAAAATACGAAACCGGGTTTGATACGATCAGTCTAACCAAACCGGGACTCCAAAACTTCATATGCGGAGTTCCTGGTCACTGTGACATAGGACAAAAGCTTCAAATCCTCGTCCTACCGGCCTCGTTGGGTCCTGTTGCAGCTCCGTTCCTAGACCGGTTCGATCACCAAGCTCCATCCCTTCTTCGTTTGCTTATTCACCGGTTAATAATGGTCCACAGTATCAGATGGGACCATCACCAGCTCCACATAGCGCAGCTTCAACCTCTAGCGTTTGGATCGGATTCAGCGTCCTTTTACTTTCTCTTTTCATCTTAGTTTGATTACGTTTTGTTTACTTTTATCGCACGCTTGAGTTGTACTTTATTTTTTCCTTGAGTGGTTTTGTTTATTTCAGCATAATTAATGGATCAGTTTTTTTTTTCTTTTTGGATTATTTAGTTTCTAATTGTGTATGCAAATTTCAGTTTTAATATTAACATTCTCATTGAACTTGTCATATCATGCCAAATTCTTACCACTCAACCTTTTAGACCATCTATAAATTTTGAAAAATTTAGAATCAAAAACCTCTTTAATTCCCCCTTATATTTTATACAATAATTTGTATGTTTTGGATTCGATTTTGTACTAGGTTTGTACTTTATTTTTTTTTATGAAAGTAATTTAGATAGAAACAAAATAAAATCTGAAATCTCCAATGGAAAAATGGTTTGTTGTGCTTTAAATACTCAGATATGGACAAGAGTTGGTGGGATCAAAGCACTCTTCCCTAATCATTTTATTTCGGTGGCAAACTCTGATGATCATAAACGAATATAAGTTTCAAATGCTACTTTGTAGAGCCCCACGGACTTATTTACTGACCCTGCAATCACCACATGATCTTTCCCAGTGTTTTGGCCTCACTCATACGGTTTCGGGAATCACTTCCCAGAAGGTCACCCATCCTAGTCCTACTCCAGCATAAGCATCCTTAACTGTGGAGTTCTCTCGGGACCTGTGACCGAAAAGATAAGTGCACTTTGATGACATAAGTAGCCAAATTAATCCATTTAAACTTATTCAAATGGGCCGGACCCGGGTCGTTACAATTTTCCCCCACTATACAGGAATTCGTCCTCGAATTCTGATCCCGACAGTACGAGCCTTAACCCTCAAACCCCAAGACAGTCTCCTGGGACAGAACCAGTTTGACTTCCCAGGTCTCTGATACCACTTGTAACGCCCCTCGACCGCCCCTACCAGCGAGTCACCCATCCCTCTGTCGGGTTCGTGGGTCCCGCCCCTGTCCGACGACAGGTGCGTTATTTTTTCCGGACCCCACCGACTTATTTACTGATCCTGCAATCACCACATGATCTTTCCCAGTGTTTTAGCCTCAGTCATACGATTTCGGAAATCACTTCCCAGAAGGTCACCCATCCTAGTCCTACTCCAGCATAAGCATCCTTAACTGTGGAGTTCTCTCGGGACCTGTGACCGAAAAGATAAGTGCACTTTGATGACATAAGTAGCCAAATTAATCTATTTAAACTTATTCAAATGGGCCGGACCCGGGTCGTTACAATTTTCCCCCACTATACAGGAATTCGTCCTCGAATTCTGATCCCGACAGTACGAGCCTTAACCCTCAAACCCCAAGACAGTCTCCTGGGACAGAACCAGTTTGACTTCCCAGGTCTCTGATACCACTTGTAACGCCCCTCGACCGCCCCTACCAGCGAGTCACCCATCCCTCTGTCGGGTTCGTGGGTCCTGCCCCTGTCCGACGACAGGTGCGTTATTTTTTCCGGACCCCACCGACTTATTTACTGATCCTGCAATCACCACATGATCTTTCCCAGTGTTTTGGCCTCAGTCATACGATTTCGGGAATCACTTCCCAGAAGGTCACCCATCCTAGTCCCTACTCCAACATAAGCACCCTTAACTGTGGAGTTCTCTCGGGACCTGTGACCGAAAAGATAAGTGCACTTTGATGACATAAGTAGCCAAATTAATCCATTTAAACTTATTCAAATGGGCCGGACCCGGGTCGTTACAATTCTCCCCCACTATACAGGAATTCGTCCTCGAATTCTGATCCCGACAGTACGAGCCTTAACCCTCAAACCCCAAGACAGTCTCCTGGGACAGAACCAGTTTGACTTCCCAGGTCTCTGATACCACTTGTAACGCCCCTCGACCGCCCCTACCGGCGAGTCGCCCATCCCTCTGTCGGGTTCGTGGGTCCCGCCCCTGTCCGACGACCGGTGCGTTATTTTTTCCGGACCCCACCGACTTATTTACTGATCCTGCAATCACCACATGATCTTTCCCAGTGTTTTGGCCTCACTCATACGATTTCGGGAATCACTTCCCAGAAGGTCACCCATCCTAGTCCTACTCCAACATAAGCACCCTTAACTGTGGAGTTCTCTCGGGACCTGTGACCGAAAAGATAAATGCACTTTGATAACATAAGTAACCAAATTAATTCATTTAAATTTATTCAAATGAGCCGGACCCGGGTCGTTATAGTCTTTGTCTTTACCTTCGGTAATCTCTGTTGGAGAAAACCAACAGTAGAGTTGCCACAAAAGAGCAGTCATTAGGGATGTATAATTTTAATAAAAGCAAGGGCAGTCATTCTTTGAGTGCTTTTGATTGACCCAAATTCATAAATAAGATTTCTTTTCGCTGATTTGTTAATGTAAATGAAAATAGTCTAATTTGTGACCCTTGTGTTTTTCCAAACTAACCTGAAATAAGCCAAAACAAAATTGGGTTATTATGTGGATCCGTTTATGATGACACTCTTTGCATTCAAATATAGTTTCAGTATCGCCATTAGATAGCAGAGATACTTTTTCTTGACCTTACAAATATTTCATATTGCATGCAATTTACTAAAGATGTTTATGTTAAAAAGAACTAAAACATAAAACTATTGGGCTAGTACCCTCAGCATATATATATATATATATATATATATATATGATAAAGATGGGCTTGGGCTAGTAACACATAGAGTGGAGAGAAAGAGATCATGGACCTTTAAGATTGGGACTGTGAGTACGGAAATCGATTATCATTTCGATTCACACAATAGAATAAGTTTGAGATCAAAGCTTTGACAAATTCTTTTTCACATTCTAAAAGTTGTTACCATTTGTTTGTTTGACATTAGTTTCAAGCTCAACAGACATAAATAACATTCATAGGATAAAGGAAGGTCCAAAATGATCACAGTTTCATTTCCTGCAACAAAAAGCCATCTTCTAAGAACCAAACTAGTACTTCTGCATATTACAAGAACACCAACCTCAATCTAAGATATATATGATGGATTTATCAGAATCCTCTCTGTCTTTTTCAGTTCCTTCAAGGAGTAGGTAGCTCCGGACAGCAGCAGGATCTAGCTCGAAAGAACCAGCAGGAACTCCCTCCTTCTCTTCTCCACTCAGTCTAACCGATGGCACTCTGTGAGAGAACCTATACAAATTTAGAATCAAGTTAGTGTCTAAACTATTTCTCTTCTTTAATTTATCGATATTTATAAAAAGAACAGTTCAAGAAAAGGAAAAAAAGTTGACTACAACCGTTTAAAAGAGCATAATGCAAATAGATAGTTGTAGATAATGTCTGTATATCCGATATAGAGAATTTCAAAGTTCTCAAACTTTGAATAGGATTAGGTTTCTGATAATCACTTGAGGAATAAGGAAAGTAAAAACGAAGAGGAGAATAATAATATACGCGTTACGTAATCCTCAAAGGAAAAGGATGATTATTATTGGCGGTGAACCAAGACCTTCTATATAAACACCTTAGTACCCAACTCAATTTCTCACCAAACAAACTCAAAAGGTTCAACAATCTCTCTCAAACTCGTTTTTCCTTCGCTCTGCTTAGTTACCTCGTCCCAATCAAAACGTAACCAAACATCGACCATGGCTTTGATCAAGAGCAACACCGTCTTCACTTCTTTGCTGATTCTCGTGGCTCTCTTTGGAGTTGCCGTAGGAGGAACGGTTCACAAAGTCGGCGACTCAAGCGGCTGGACTATAATGGGCGCCAATTACGAATCTTGGGCTTCTTCGAGAACTTTTCAAGTCGGAGACTCTTTGGTCTTCGAATACAACAAGGATTTCCACGACGTCACTCAAGTCTCCCACAATGATTTCGAGCTGTGTGAATCGTCTAAACCGTTAGCGAAATACCAAACCGGCTCGGATACGATCAGTCTAACCAAACCGGGACTTCAAAACTTCATATGCGGGGTTCCTGGTCACTGCGACATAGGACAAAAGCTTCAAATACTCGTCCTACCGGCCTCGTTGGGTCCCGTTGCAGCTCCACTTCCCGCACCAGTCCGATCACCAACTACTTCGTTGTCTCCTTCACCGGTTGTGAATGCTCCACAGTGTCAGATGGGACCATCACCAGCACCACATAGCGCAGCTTCAACCTCTAGCGTTTGGAACGGATTCAGCTTCCTTGTGCTTTCTCTTTTCATCTTAGTTTGATAGATCATTCACTTAGGTTTTGTTTACTTTTATCGCACGTTTGAGTTACAGTCTAGTTTTTCCTTGAGTGGTAATGTTTATTACAGCATAATTAAAAAGCTTTATTATTTTTTTTCCTATTGCTAAGTTATTATTATTAAATTTTTCTATTGTGCATAATTTGGAAATATTATTTCAATTTAACTTTATTTTCTCTCTCTATATATTCCCCCCTTTATTTTTGTAAGAGAAAGACACTAAATATTTTCTTATTGAAATCGATTAGAAAGATAATTTCCTAAAAGAATCAAAAGTCCAAGTGAATTCACAAACGTAACCCAAACGATATGTAGTGATGCTGCATCACTTTCCCAACTATTTTCCCAAAAGTCTGTCAGAGAAAAAGTGTTAGGCTGTTAATTAGCAATCAAAGACATTCTCATCGTATTGTTATCTCTTTATGTTTATGCAATCACGAGAGAATATTCTAAACTTTAATATTGGAAGCCAAATTTTTACTCTATGTGCCACTTGAGGGGAGAGTGTGAAGGTGAAGAGCTGTGCCACCTACTGGTGCTCGGTTTTAGTTTTAGTTTTAGTCAAAATTATTAAGATTTAACTTTATAGTTTATATATATATATGTATATCTATTCACCTTTATTTTCGTAAGATATGTCGTCAATATTGTTTGATCAGATTTACTGATATTTTTGAAAGACAAGGAAACTAAAAAGTTAATTTAATGTATACCTAAATCCATAGTTGAGGATTTACCCATTTAACAATGTATGTCACACACGTATGCTATTATTAAACTAAAAAGTTAATTTAATGAACATCACTTTGCTATTATTAAATAAAAATACAAAAAAAAAACTTGACACTCATGAATAAGAAAACCCCCAATGTAATCAAATTATCAAACGCTAGAATTTTGTGAAGTAGTTTATTTAACAGATTTGTAGAATTACTGTACTTGCTCAAGAAAATCCGATTAAATTTGTGAATCGTGATTTGTTTTTCTTTTTCAATTTGTGACACAATTAAAAACTTTGAACGAAAAGGTTGTCCGTTGTAAGTATGTAATAAAAAAATCCCCGAAATTAATTGTGTTTTTTTTTACTTTTTGCTTCCTTTGGGTTTATTTGGTCAAAGGGAATAAAACGAATCAAGACATACTTAGGGGAACAAGATGTAAAGCCCAAGTTTAGTTTAACCGCCGCCTCCCTCCTTCTTGTCGGAGATTGCAGTGTGAAATCTCCAGATTTGGGAAATTGCTCTCCAAGCATCTCGGAACCCTAAATTCAACAACCTCTCCGTCAAGATACCTCTCGTGTGTCCTCCTCCCTAAAACCCCAAGGAAGCCTTTCTCTCGAATTTCCCAACAATGGCGACAGAAGCCGCCACAGCTGCATCCAAATTCCCAGAATCCGATCTCCGTCCGATCCCTCAGCCACCGGATTTTCATCCGGCGGTTCTCGTTCCAGCTCAGAGCAACGGACTCATATTCTGGCAGCTCATGGTCGCCGGTTCGATTGCTGGCTCCGTCGAACACATGGCGATGTTCCCAGTCGATACCGTCAAGACCCATATGCAAGCTCTCCGTTCATGTCCGATTAAACCCGTCGGAATCCGGCAAGCTTTCCGATCGATTATCAAAACGGACGGACCATGGGCTCTGTACAGAGGTATTTGGGCTATGGGACTCGGCGCAGGACCAGCTCACGCCGTTTATTTCTCCTTTTACGAAGTCTCCAAGAAGTATTTATCCGGCGGAAACCCCAATAACTCCGCCGCGCACGCGGTTTCCGGCGTATTCGCAACGATATCAAGCGACGCCGTTTTTACTCCGATGGATATGGTTAAGCAGAGGCTTCAGATTGGTAACGGGACTTATAAAGGAGTTTGGGATTGCATCAAGAGGGTAACGCGAGAGGAAGGGTTTGGTGCTTTCTACGCCTCCTATAGAACGACGGTGCTTATGAATGCTCCGTTCACGGCTGTTCACTTCGCGACGTACGAGGCGGTTAAGAGGGGATTGAGAGAGATATCGCCGGAGCACGTTGGCCGCGGCGGAGAGGAGGAGGAGGAAGGTTGGTTGATCTATGCTACTGCGGGAGCCGCCGCTGGTGGCTTGGCGGCTGCTGTGACCACGCCGCTTGACGTTATCAAGACGCAATTGCAATGTCAGGTAAATTTGAAACCTTTTGATCTCTAAAAACCATTATGAGAATCTTAGAGCAATTGTGATAAGAGATACACTATGATCTTTATAGGTAAATGTAGAAAGCATTGTTTAGAATCTAAGCTTTGTGATCATCAAACTCAATAATTGCGTTTGGGATTAGGTTCTTTAGTTGTCTTTTTAGAGCTTGATCAGGTGTTTAAAACGATTCTAGTTAGCTGTTCTCTCAGTGGTTCTGGTTTGAGCTAGTTTTGAGCTTATGAGGGAGAAGAAAGACAAAACTATAGGAGAGTTTTGTATGATTTCAGACAACGACATTTCCCCGTTGAGCTCTAAGTGTCTCAAGTTTAAAAGTTTCAGGCTTTGATCTTTTTACTGAATCTAGGGACTATGTTTCAAGTTGTGGTTTTGTTTGTGTGTTGAAAGATGAAGAAAATATCAAAAGTCTGCTCTAGGTTTAGGAATCTTTTAGCGTTTCAATGTTTGTAGCCGTTTCATCTGATTGCGGTTTGTTTTGGCTGTTCTGAGAATCTTTGGTTATATGATGTTGATTCAGGGCGTGTGCGGTTGTGACCGTTTCAAGAGCGGTTCGATAAGCGACGTGTTTCGAACAATCGTGAAGAAAGATGGTTATAGAGGACTTGCTAGAGGATGGCTACCAAGAATGCTATTCCATGCTCCAGCAGCTGCGATCTGCTGGTCCACTTATGAAACAGTCAAATCATTCTTTCAAGATCTTAATGGCGACGCAAACGCAGCTTGAAGAAGACACAAACACTGCGTTTGGCTTATTTGCTTGCCTGATTCAGGTGATTGATGATTCTTTCATAGAGCCTGCTGGTTAGTTTTAATTAACACTAGCTCTTAGAGAGATCTCTGCTTGTATAATTATTTTGTGTTCTTTTCACGCAATAATGTTTTGTCAAATTAGAGTTTCAACTCCCAAAGGCCTTTTTGTCTGATTTGTTTTGACTAGTGAAATTTTGTATTTTTATAAAGGAATAGATGAGTTTAAAGAGTCCATTTTTACAAGAAATAAAGATTCAATCTTTTGTTATTCTATAGCATTTAAATGTTTCAGATCCCATTTATATATTACTTTGGTATGATTATCCAAAACAAGTTTCTATAAGTACTTGTACAAAAAGAATAATGAGAAGAAGACACATAAACTTTATCATGAACAGAGTGACTCAGGAGCTAACGATTTTGGCAACAATCACAGTGACATCATCAAGCTTCCCTCCTGCACTTTTTCAGAACCATCAAATCAGAAATTGCTCTTTTTTTCTTAATTAATCAAAATGTGGTTTTTTTTACCTGTAAGCTTCATTCCTAATGCCTTCTTCCAGAGAGGAACATCAAAACCCTGTTTATACCAAAGCGTATAAATACTTTGCGTGAACCGGAAAAAAACCAATTCTTGGTTTAGTTAAAACTTAAAACATATACCTTGGCTCTTGCTTCCAATGCATATGGAGACTCAAAACCTGGATCTCTTGAATGGTTACTCGCCACTTCAGCTAATAACCTCGCTGTAATAATTGTACCAAAACAAACCATGTCATTTTTTCTAAACTTCAGATTCAAAACCAGAGGAGAGATATGCTTGCTTATACATACATGATTCTGAAACATCTGTATGCTTGGTGACTACCGAAACAATCTCATGATCAAATACGTTATCGAAAAGCCCATCTGAACCCATCACGATCACGTCTCCTTTCTTTACTTCCATTATGTTAAACTGCTTAATGGAAGTAACAAGTATGTTACAGAAGTAGAGCACTAGAACCAAAGCATGTAAAGTGGTTACAGATATATATTTACCGATGCATCTAGATATGTTTGAGCAGAGCCTTCAGAGCTTAGTTGATAGGGACAGTCAAAATAGTGCTCCTGTGGAGTAGTCGAGAATATGATCTGACCTGCAAAACGCGAATGAATCAACATCTCCTTGTCAGAATTCTGATAACAATCTACCATCTCAGGTTACAGAAGGATAATAAAAAAGAGAACCTTCTCGAAGAAGCTTAAGTCCACAGTCTCCGACATTGCCTATTTTGAGAATACCAACTTCCTCAAGCATGGCTACAATGCTGCTTCACCAATAACCGCGACATCAAGCTATCCAAAACGGAACAAAAAAAGGAAACAACCTTTGAAGAGAATAATAATTAGGACAAATGATTCAAATCTCACATTGTGGCAGAACCTCTGGAAGTAGTTGCGGTATGAGCTTTGTCAATGAGGAAACCAGGGTCATATCTAACCTGTTCCAAAACGTTAATATCAGAAACCATAAACCACTCAAAAGATAAATTAACACTTCCACATTGAGATTCAAAAGTTTACATCTTCATTATCAACAAGACGAGAAGCATTAGCCATGAGTTCTTTGGAAAACAAGGAAGGATCAACATCTTGTTCAGCTCATCTGAGAGAAAAGATATAAGCTTTATCAAAATTGAGATTAACCCAGAAGTACTAAAACCAAAGTTAGCAAAAGCAACGAAATTAAAACCGTAATTGATTCGATTACCCGGAAACACCATCTGCAACAGCTATGACTCCTCCTCTATAGCTACTTACAAAGAGAGCATCTTCCCCACCTTTCTCTACCTATAAATTTCATTTTCAATTGCACAACTTCCACGAAGCAACCAATTTGATTCTGTGTCTTCCGTTTTGGGCTCATGACACACAACCAAAGAAGAAACAGAAACCTTGGTGTACCTTATCTGGATGCGGGATAGCGTGAATTCCGACAGATAAAGAGAGTTCGGGACTAAGGAAAATCGAAAGACAATGAGAAACGATTTTTTATCAGTTTCGGAAAAGTAAACTTCATCTTGGACACCAAAACTCGGAAATTACGAGAAGGGAGAAACGAGCAGACCGAAGTGGTTGGACTTCTGATGGAGCACAGCGACAGAGGAAATCAACGCGACCCGAGTTTCGAAAGTTCGGATGCGAGAGAAGAAGCGATGGTCGTGAGTGAGGAACAATCATTCTCGTCACCGGAATCGTCATTTCCTGCAACTTGTGACTCTCTCTCTCTCCCCGTCGCCTCTGTTTGCATCCTGTGGTGGCCACTTTGTGAGCTTGTATATATTTTCTCTATAATATTAAAACGTGCAGAAGCTTAAACAATTAGCACCAGTGGTCTAGTGGTAGAATAGTACCCTGCCACGGTACAGACCCGGGTTCGATTCCCGGCTGGTGCATTAGAGCTGTGAAGAATTGGCTTAGCGTTGGTTGGATCCTTTGCAGTCTTTTGACTTTTCAGATGTGACAACAGCCTCGTTACTGATCTCTTAACTTTTCAGATGTGTACATTTTTTTAAACCGTACGGTTTACGACTTTCACTAAAGAGAATCGTCAGCAAATCAATTTAGGATATTTTTTCACATTATGAATTTTCCTTGGGTTTAACTTCAATTTCTCTATTTTTTTGGGGGGGAGAGGGGGTTAAAATATACTTATAATTTAAACAAAATATATTTTTATTTGCTTAATTACAACAGTTATATATATATTTGCGAATCATGAAAATCAGCAACAAGAGGCTACTGAATAATAATTTAGTCTAAAAATAAATAAAGGAATAAACAAATAATTATTCGATATAACGCACAACGGTTCTTTCTTTCCGAGAAGAAGAAAATAAATATATTTATTATTATGTGTAAATTAAAAAAAAGGAAATTAGGACTGATACTCTGATAGTCGGTTAGGTCTTGATGCGTTAATTCAATCTCTATATATATATTTGTTGCCACTTCCCCAAGTGATTTACCAATTCTCAGATTTTACTTTTAATTAGGGTTTTTTTCCTTATCTACGAAATCCGAAGAATCGATCTATTTGTTTTTTTGTTGCAATGCCAGAAATAGAGTTTTTCTTCGAAATCTCTCTAGGTAAAGGTAGTTACGGTTCGGTGAGTCTCTACAAGAGACAACACGCCTGAGCTGTGAAGAATTGGCTTAGCGTTGGTTGGGTCCTTCGCAGTCTTCTGACTTCTCAGATGTGACAGCCTCGTTACTGAGCTCTTAATTTTTGTTTAATGTATATAAATTCGAATCAAACTTTTGATCTGAGGTTGAAACTGTACCGAAAATCTATTCAATTAATTTTTACTTCCTAGTAACTAACATATTAAATGAGCAAATTACATTGAATAATGTTGTTGGTTAATTAAATTCAATACGAGTTAAAAAAGGTGTACATTTTTTTAAACCGTACGGTTTACGACTTTCACTAAAGAGAATCGTCAGCAAATCAATTTGGGATATTTTGTCACATTATGAATTTTCCTTGGGTTTAACTTCAATTTCTCTATTTTTTGAGGGGAGGGGGAGAGGGGGTTAAAATATACTTATAATTTAAACAAAATATATTTTTATTTGCTTAATTACAACAGTTATATATATATATTTGCGAATCATGAAAATCAGTAACAAGAGGCTACTGAATAATAATTTAGTCTAAAAATAAATAAAGGAATAAATAAATAATTATTCGATATAACGCACAATGGTTCTTTCTTTCCGAGAAGAAGAAAATAAATATATTTATTATTATATGTAAATTAAAAAAAAGGAAATTGGGACTGATACTCTGATAGTCGGTTAGGTCTTAACGCGTTAATTCAATCTCTATATATATATTTGTTGCCACTTCCCCAAGTAATTTACCAATTCTCAGATTTCACTTTTAATTAGGGTTTTTTTCCTTATCGACGAAATCCGAAGAATCGATCTATTTGTTTTTTGTTGCAATGCCAGAAACAGAGTTTTTCTTCGAAACCTCTCTAGGTAAAGGTAGTTACGGTTCGGTGAGTCTCTACAAGGGACAACACGCCTGAGCTGTGAAGAATTGGCTTAGCGTTGGTTGGGTCCTTCGCAGTCTTCTGACTTCTCAGATGTGACAGCCTCGTTACTGAGCTCTTAATTTTTGTTTAATGTATATAAATTCGAATCAAACTTTTGATCTGAGGTTGAAACTGTACCGAAAATCTATTCAATTAATTTGTACTTCCTAGTAACTAACATATTAAATGAGCAAATTACATTGAATAATGTTGTTGGTTAATTAAATTCAATACGAGTTAAAAAAGGTGTACATTTTTTTAAACCGTACGGTTTACGACTTTCACTAAAGAGAATCGTCAGCAAATCAATTTAGGATATTTTTTCACATTATGAATTTTCCTTGGGTTTAACTTCAATTTCTCTATTTTTTTGGGGGGGAGAGGGGGTTAAAATATACTTATAATTTAAACAAAATATATTTTTATTTGCTTAATTACAACAGTTATATATATATTTGCGAATCATGAAAATCAGCAACAAGAGGCTACTGAATAATAATTTAGTCTAAAAATAAATAAAAGAATAAACAAATAATTATTCGATATAACGCACAACGGTTCTTTCTTTCCGAGAAGAAGAAAATAAATATATTTATTATTATGTGTAAATTAAAAAAAAGGAAATTAGGACTGATACTCTGATAGTCGGTTAGGTCTTGATGCGTTAATTCAATCTCTATATATATATTTGTTGCCACTTCCCCAAGTGATTTACCAATTCTCAGATTTTACTTTTAATTAGGGTTTTTTTCCTTATCTACGAAATCCGAAGAATCGATCTATTTGTTTTTTTGTTGCAATGCCAGAAATAGAGTTTTTCTTCGAAATCTCTCTAGGTAAAGGTAGTTACGGTTCGGTGAGTCTCTACAAGAGACAACACGCCTGAGCTGTGAAGAATTGGCTTAGCGTTGGTTGGGTCCTTCGCAGTCTTCTGACTTCTCAGATGTGACAGCCTCGTTACTGAGCTCTTAATTTTTGTTTAATGTATATAAATTCGAATCAAACTTTTGATCTGAGGTTGAAACTGTACCGAAAATCTATTCAATTAATTTGTACTTCCTAGTAACTAACATATTAAATGAGCAAATTACATTGAATAATATTGTTGGTTAATTAAATTCAATACGAGTTAAAAAAGGTGTACATTTTTTTAAACCGTACGGTTTACGACTTTCACTAAAGAGAATCGTCAGCAAATCAATTTAAGATATTTTGTCACATTATGGATTTTCCTTGGGTTTAACTTCAATTTCTCTATTTTTTTGGGGGGGGAGAGGGGGTTAAAATATACTTATAATTTAAACAAAATATATTTTTATTTGCTTAATTACAACAGTTATATATATATTTGCAAATCATGAAAATCAGCAACAAGAGGCTACTGAATAATAATTTAATCTATAAATAAATAAAGGAATAAACAAATAATTATTCGATATAACGTACAACGGTTCTTTCTTTCCGAGAAGAAGAAAATAAATATATTTATTATTATGTGTAAATTAAAAAAAAGGAAATTGGGACTGATACTCTGATAGTCGGTTAGGTCTTAACGCGTTAATTTAATCTCTATATATATATATTTGTTGCCACTTCTCCAAGTGATTTACCAATTCTCAGATTTCACTTTTAATTAGGGTTTTTTTCCTTATCGATGAAATCCGAAGAATCGATCTATTTGTTTTTTGTTGCAATGCCAGAAACAGAGTTTTTCTTCGAAACCTCTCTAGGTAAAGGTAGTTACTGTTCGGTGAGTCTCTACAAGGGACAACACGCCTGAGCTGTGAAGAATTGGCTTAGCGTTGGTTGGGTCCTTCGCAGTCTTCTGACTTCTCAGATGTGACAGCCTCGTTACTGAGCTCTTAATTTTTGTTTAATGTATATAAGTTCGAATCAAACTTTTGATCTGAGGTTGAAACTGTACCGAAAATCTATTCAATTAATTTTTACTTCCTAGTAACTAACATATTAAATGAGCAAATTACATTGAATAATGTTGTTGGTTAATTAAATTCAATACGAGTTAAAAAAGGTGTACATTTTTTTAAACCGTACGGTTTACGACTTTCACTAAAGAGAATCGTCAGCAAATCAATTTAGGATATTTTGTCACATTATAAATTTTTCTTGGGTTTAACTTCAATTTCTCTATTTTTTTGGGGGGGAGAGGGGGTTAAAATATACTTATAATTTAAACAAAATATATTTTTATTTGCTTAATTACAACAGTTATATATATATATTTGCGAATCATGAAAATCAGCAACAAGAGGCTACTGAATAATAATTTAGTCTAAAAATAAATAAAGGAATAAACAAATAATTATTCGATATAACGCACAACGGTTCTTTCTTTCCGAGAAGAAGAAAATAAATATATTTATTATCATGTGTAAATTAAAAAAAAAGGAAATTGGGACTGATACTCTGATAGTCGGTTAGGTCTTAACGCGTTAATTCAATCTCTATATATATATATTTGTTGCCACTTCCCCAAGTGATTTACCAATTCTCAGATTTCACTTTTAATTAGGGTTTTTTTTTCTTATCGACGAAATCCGAAGAATCGATCTATTTGTTTTTTGTTGCAATGCCAGAAACAGAGTTTTTCTTCGAAACCTCTCTAGGTAAAGGTAGTTACGGTTCCGTGAGTCTCTACAAGGGACAACACGCCTGAGCTGTGAAGAATTGGCTTAGCGTTGGTTGGGTCCTTCGCAGTCTTCTGACTTCTCAGATGTGACAGCCTCGTTACTGAGCTCTTAATTTTTGTTTAATGTATATAAATTCGAATCAAACTTTTGATCTGAGGTTGAAACTGTACCGAAAATCTATTCAATTAATTTTTACTTCCTAGTAACTAACATATTAAATGAGCAAATTACATTGAATAATGTTGTTGGTTAATTAAATTCAATACGAGTTAAAAAAAGTGTACATTTTTTTAAACCGTACGGTTTACGACTTTCACTAAAGAGAATCGTCAGCAAATCAATTTAAGATATTTTGTCACATTATGAATTTTTCTTGGGTTTAACTTCAATTTCTCTATTTTTTTGGGGGGGGGGGGGGGGGGGGGGGGGGGGGGGGGGGGGGGGGGGGGAGAGGGGGTTAAAATATACTTATAATTTAAACAAAATATATTTTTATTTGCTTAATTACATATATTTGCGAATCATGAAAATCAGTAACAAGAGGCTACTGAATAATAATTTAATCTAAAAATAAATAAAGGAATAAACAAATAATTATTCGATATAACGCATAACGGTTCTTTCTTTCCGAGAAGAAGAAAATAAATATCTTTTTTATTATTATATGTAAATTAAAAAAAAAAGAAAATTGAGACTGATACTCTGATAGTCGGTTAGGTCTTAATGCGTTAATTCAATCTCTATATATATATTTGTTGCCACTTCCCCAAGTGATTTACCAATTCTCAAATTTCACTTTTAATTAGGGTTTTTTTCCTTATCTACGAAATCCTAAGAATCTATCTATTTGTTTTTTGTTATAATGCCAGAAACAGAGTTTTTCTTCGAAACCTCTCTAGGTAAAGGTAGTTACGGTTCGGTGAGTCTCTACAAGGGACAACACGCCGGCGAAACGGGTTACGCCGCCGTGAAAACCTCCGACGAAAAACACGCCGAGTCTCTCTACAGAGAGTTTCGAATCTTGTCTGAACTCAACGGCTGCCCGAGAATCGTCAAGTGCTATGGAACCAAAGTGGCAGAGAAACTCAACGAGCAAGGTTCCATTAGTTACTGCTTTCCAATGGAATACGCATCTGGAGGAAGCTTGAGGAGTTTCATGGATACCTTCGAAGACAAGAAACTTCCCGATCCTTTGATCAGAGAGTTTACTTGTATGATCCTCCAAGGGTTAGCCACGATCCACAGACACGGCTACGTCCACTGCGATCTCAAACCGGGGAACATCCTCGTTTTCCCGAGTCTTGTCTGCAGGAACGGCGCGTGGGTATTCTCTTACGAGTTGAAGATTTCTGATTTCGGGGCAACGAGAAGAGACGGAGACAGTAGCTGGTGGCAACCTCACCGCCCGGTTGCGGGAACAGCGATCTATATGTCACCGGAATCGATTTCTCACGGCGAGACAGGGAAAGGACTTGATTTGTGGTCTTTGGGATGTGTGGTCCTGGAGATGTACACCGGGAAGAGGCCGTGGTGGCATACAAACTATGACTTGGAGGATCTCAAGAACTGTAACGAGCCATTGATTCCGAGTGACCTTCCTTTCGATGCAAAGCTGTTTCTCATGACTTGCTTCGCCTTCGAGGCTGATGATAGAGAAGACGCGATGACTTTGTTGAGGCATAGCTTTTTGAATGGATGCATCAACAAGATCGCAGAGCCTTTTGTGTATGCGAAGACTGAAACTCATAGAAAAGCGATTGCTCTGGAACTAGAGAAATTTTTCAGAGGGGATATGTCGAGATTCAAGAATACTCGTGTAGCTGAAGTCATTCCTGGCAAGACCGTTGAGGCCTGATTCTGCTGCTCTTGTTCAAATTCATGTTCTTTGTTAGTCCATCAATGTTTTACTGATTAGTAGAATTATGTAATAGCTTACGAGTATATTTGACTTTGTCTATGAAAGATAATGATTCCTTATATGAACGTTTTCCTTATTTTATCATAGCTTAACTTCCAGATTCAAGCTTTGCTTTTTCTTCTCTTCTCTGCTCTTCTTTGCGCTCAAATTTATTGATTTTGGAGTCCTAATTTCTCTTCGTAAGAGCAATCACAGAACTGCAGAAGTTGCAGGAGAATAATCAATCAACACAGTAATTTGCACTTATCAATTTGTATGTCATATGAAATTAATATACTTCCACTTTGTTGATAACAGAAACGAAATTTGTTTACTAGCATTAGAAAAGTAACATAAACAAATTGTCACCAGTGGTTTAATGGTAGAATAGTACCCTGCCATGGTACAGACACGGGTTCGATTCCCGGCTGGTGCAGATTTGTTGGAGCTGTGATGAAATATTCTTGAGCTGTGGTGATGAATCTTCGGATGTGATATAAACCTCGCTTCTTCTGAGCTCAATTTTTTTTTTTATTCTATATTTTTGATCAACTTCAAAATAGTTAATCAATAGCAAAATAAACCAGTACAACACACAAACTTGAGATTTTATCGTCTTCAAAGTGTTGGCCATTCTTTTTAAAAAGATATCTCAACATATATTATGCAAAGGGTTACATAAATATTCGTTACAAAACTTTGTATTCCAAAAGCACTGAAGCACCAGAAAGATTCCACATAAAGATAAGTTTCAGATTTTACTTACTAATGATTCTCAACTCAAATAGATGAACAAAAGCTATAGCCACAGAGTCTCTCTCAAGCACTGATGTTTTCAACAGTGGCGCTTTTATCTACTCTCTTGAATATCCCTGCAATCACCTGTTGTTTGAAATGCATCAAGAAACAACTTAGAAGAAGAAGAAGACACCTCTCACAAGCTATTATGAGTTTAGGAGGCTAGAAATGAAATACCTTTCCAGGTCCCAATTCATAGCTACTTTTAAGTCCTTTTGATAAGAGAGTCTTTACTGTTGTCTCCCATTGTACTGGAGATGTCACCTGCAAATTTCAACAACCCGAGTCTTTGTTTTATCGTTGAAACGCAGAGTAAACGAATAGCTCTCAGACTCTAGAGTATTGATTTTGTTTACCTGTCTTGCAAGTATCTTCTTGATCGTGTCTGGATCAGCATGAGGCTGTGCATCGACATTGGAGATCACTGGAATCCTCGGAGTTCTGATCTCCGTTGCTGCCAATGCAGCTTCTAATCTCGACACTGCTGGTTCCATGAAACTTGTGTGGAAGGCTCCTGCAACAGCTAAACGAACCTACAGAGCCAGAAGCAACAACAACCATGTTTCTTATAGCCTTGAGGAAGATGGCATAACATAAAGATAATGTAATTAAAGAGCGAGAGAGAGGATACCGTCATTCGAGCCTTGAATGACTTAGCTTTGGCTTCAACAGCTTCGATTCCCTTAAGACCTCCAGATACTGCGTAATTACCCTGTAATAGCAGACTGTGTTATGGAACGTAAAGATTGAGTTTTAGACAAGTGTATAATATGCAGAAGATTCATGGAGGACATATGTATACCGGACATAAGTAGTTTGCGATTTGAACTTTGTCGGCTTTATCTACTTCCTGATTTGCTGCATCACACAGCTGCTGAACCTTTTCTGAGTCTAACCCTATGATACTAACCATGGCACTCTTAGCAGCATCTGCAGCAGCCTGAAAAAGTTATTTCATCGAAAATCAACTCATCAAAAAGCTGTTCGAAGTTCCAATGGTAAAATAAGGTCACTATAGATCTGTGAAGATATACATAAAAAGTTCATAAAAAGCCTCACCTGCATGGCTTCTCCTCTAAGTTTTACAAGCTTTAGTCCGTCCTCGAAGCTTGAGAGTGAAAACAGTAAGAGAAGTAAGAGTTAAGGTGATGATGGTGCACATAGGTACAAACGGAACAAAAGTAAAATGGTTTCACGCAACAATGTCAGAAAGTCTTGACATTTGGTACCATTTCGTTTTAGAATGAAACATTTGGTAAACGGTTGGACAAAGTCGCAACATTAAAAAAAAGAGATATCTTTTAGACATGGTTCAGTGTTGTGTGATTTAACTAACCTGAAGGCTCCAGCAAATGCCAGAGCAGTGTACTCTCCCAAACTGAGACCGCAAGTCACATCAACCGAGTTAATAATCTGTTCTCCGCCCTCACGAACACGTAGCAATTCAACTGCTGCTAGACTTGTGACATATATAGCAGGCTGAGAAAACGAGAAACCAAGAACTTTGATTGTAAGTACATGAACATGATCAAAATACTACTTGAAGGATTTAGTTCTGCTAGATATGGTGACAAGAAAGATGGGATCAACAGAAATAAGGGAGTAGAATGATGTACCTGGCTAATGACAGTTGAATCAAGCTTCTCTTTTGGTCCATTAACACAAATGTCAAGAAGATCATACCTGAAAAGCCACCATGTGGAGTTTTATACATTCACTAAGTAAAGAAAACAAAACAAATGGGTGGTTTTGAAGCAAAGGAACATACCCTAAGATATCGTTGGCTTTCTTATACAACTCTCCTGCTGCTTCAACACTCTGAGCCTCTTTCCCCATCCCTATTGCTTGAGCTCCCTGAGATATATTGCAAAAATCATTAAGACTTCAATTTTCTAGATACAGTGTCTGAAAAGCGTTCTGATTTTTGTCGCATTTTATTTTCTGAGCAATTGCAAGCAAAAGATTTGATTTTTATGGTCAGGACACAGCATTGCAATTACAATCAGAATCGTCAACAAAAGTTTCAGTGTTGGGCATTTCGAAAAATCCTAAATTGAGTCGAAATCAATAGACTTGTTCTATCAAAAACTCACATTCCCAGTGTTGTCATAAGATTCAATCCAATTCCGGTTTATCGGAAAGTAGACACACTGAGAACAGAGGAGAGAAAAGTGTACCTGACCGGGAAACAGAAAAGCAGAGGTGGGTTTGTAATCGGCGAACAGAGAGTCGTTGACAGTAGTCTGAGATCCAGCGGAGACGCTCATGGAAACCCTAGATCGGCTGAGATTCTTGACGGCGAATCCGAGGGAGGAGGCATTTCTGGAGGAGCAGAGATTGTTGAGAGATACGGAAGGGAGGAGCAATGAAGAGGAGGAGGAAGAAGCGGCGGTGGCCATGGCGGAAGGAAAGGTGCGCAGGATAAGAGATTGAGCCGGAGGGGTGCGTAGGATAGTACGGTGAAGCAGTGAGCACATTCAGAGAAAGTAGTATCCTTTAAAAAGCTTAAGCGGAGTTAACGAAGATGGTAGATGGAGGAAGTTGAGAATCAAAACCCAACTGTTTTTGTTTTCTTTTTAGAACCCAAAGAAAAATAATTATTTTTCAAAGTAATTTCTCTTACAAAAATTAATATGGAGAAGAAAAAGTTGTCAAAGATGAATATTGAGTAAATTTACTATAAACGGATTTGGAGAAGAAAAAAATGTGCAAGCTTCATTATTTTGCTAGACCTTGTGTAACGATTTGTGTGAGCTTGGCTTATTTTCATCGGTTATTTTCTGACATAACGATTTGATTCGGTTTGATCCTTATGCTATTATCATTGTTGGAAACTCAGAAAATATTCAAGAGCATACTTTGAATTTCTCATTAAAAGAAAGAAATAAGTTTTGGGAAAGTCAAACTGGAAGATGATCAAGATTATCATATTGAAAGTTTGCAACACACGTTTTGTTGATAATATTTTTGTAATCCGAATGATCAAGACACTCTATTACGAGGAAAATAACAAGAGGACATCGAAACCAAATGATGAACCACTTTCAATAGAGCAGTTTGTCCATCTTTAACCACATCACAAATTAAAACGACCCACAAAAAGGGCATTTTCGATTAAAATAAAACAAAACAAAAACCCCACAAATCCTTAGATCCAACGGTAGAAGAAGATTTAGCATCTTGGAAGATCCAACGGTGGAGCCTGCACAGATTGTAATTGTCCTCGTCCGTTCTCAACCAAGAAAACCATCGCCAAACCCCATCCCAAATGCGAATCGATGTGACAGTGCATAAACCATGCTCCTGCATTACAACAAGAATGATATCAAAACTCTGTATTCAATTTTGGGTTTTAGATCGCTTGAATCAAGATTAATTAAATTAGTTACCTGGATTATCAGCTACGAACCGGATTGCAACCCAACCACCTGGAGGTGTACCAACGGTGTTCCTCTCCGGTGGGTCAAACAGGTTAAACCTAGCCGGGTCAGTTCTCGGGTTAAAGTTCCCAAAACCGGACCCTACAACGTAGAATTGGTACCCGTGAAGGTGCATAGGATGATTCTCAGGCGTGACAATGCTCGTGTCTTGTAACACAATCTGAACATTAGCTCTGTATTTGAGCTTGTAAGCTTTGGTTCCCTTTACGGGCTGCCATAGCCCGCGGCTGACGTTACCGGTGTAATCAAACTGCACCGGCGGAACAGGCGGGAAATCCGTCGTAAAGATTCCGGGCATGCCTTGGTAATAAGCTTGCATGACTGAGTTTCTTCGTGGTAGCACGAATGACTGGTTGTTGATGCTGGCCGCGAACCGGGTCCCGTTGGGTCCCTGGCAACGCGGACTGTTCGGATTGGCGCAATTGATTAGCCCTAACCCTACCGTGAAAAAGAGGTTTTCGTCGACCTGGAGTGGTACTGGAGCTCGTTTCCAATACCGCAGACGGTTGGTGAAAGCGGTTGCGGTTGCAGTGTCGTTGAACCCGGGGAGAACTGGAAAAACCGGAGCGATCTGACCACGTCCGCGGCCTCGTCGAGTTGGAGCGTTGACGTACTCTAAGATAGCGGTTGTGGTTGTGTTGTCGAATGGGGCGTTTGCGCTGTTGTAGGCGCGAGCAGCCATGTAATAGCGGCCGGGTCGCTGGTTTGCAGTGATGAGGACGTTTGTGGTTTGGCCGGGACCGATCATGATGACACTAGTGGTGAATGGTTTTGTGTAGGCGGAATCGGTTTCCACAACTGTGAGCTGGTGGTTAGCGACCGAGAAGAAGAGCTCTTGGTTCATACCAGCGTTGATGACACGGAGCTGCACCGTCTCGCCGGGGAAGATTGGGAAACGGACGGTTTCAGCCCGCGAGCACCGGTACAGATCACCTGGTTGACCGTTGATTGTGTAAGCGTCGGAGACATTAGCTGCTGCTCCTGTGAACTGTGCTTGCCTCAAAACGTCCATTGGGTTTCTATCCCACCATTCCCCTGTTTTCCATCAAAAATATGATCAAAATTTCATTTTTAGATCATAAAATATGTAATTTGAAGTTATGAATTCTTACCGAGAAGAATTGGGATGTCACGTTTGGGCATAGAGAAGGGATAAGGAGAACCAAGACGAGGGTAAATGATGAGAGCACCATAGACGGTGGCTCTGAGCCATCGGCTATGAGCGTGCCACCAAAGTGTACCTTCTTGATCCTCGATTGTGAACCTGTAAGTGTAGCTTTGACCTGGTCGGATCGGACACTGTGTTATGTACTCTGGACCATCAGCCCACGGATTCCGTAGCTGTCTGATTCCATGCCTGTCTCAAAAAAAAAAAAAAAAAAAAAAAAAAAAAAAACAGAGCAAAAAACAGAGTATTAAAACAGAGCAAAACAGAACATATGTTTTGTTGATTTTTGGTGATGAAATCAATTTAATTACCAGTGAATGCTAATGTTGTAACGAGCTCTGTTGATGACAGTGATTGCGAGAGAGTCACCGTTCCTGACCTCGAGTGTTGGACCAGGGAACTGACCATTCACGGTGATGCTTTGGTGAGTTCTGCACAGCCTCTTCACTGGTTTCGGCTGGATCTAAAAGTCATCCACAATGAGAAACACGGAGCACAAAATCGCCGATTAAACTTACTTCAACCAAATTCATTTATACAAAGAAGCTCTAATGTAACGGAGATTTGCTAGCTTACCACAAATTCACGGACGTGAAGTTCAGCAGAAGCAAGAAAAGCGAAGTATGCAAGAAGAGCGATGAAGGATACAAACGAGAATCTTCGGAGAGACTCCATTGATGCTGTATTGTTAGATGTGTTGTGTGAGTTTAGAGGATGAAGCGGAGTGGTATTTATACACACTAAGCGGGGAACAACAGAGGATTTTGTGAATTCGTTAGCAATTTGACAAATTTTTATTATATTTTACTAAAATGATACTGTTATTTGGTTTAGAGTCAGCAGGAGGAGAAAAAAGAAATGAAATTTTCACAATGTGTTTAGTTGATTTGGTGCACCCACTGGACTAATTTGGGTACTAGGATCCTCTAATTATTATGAAAGAATCTTTTTAGTTTGTTTGTTTTGATTATATATTGACTATGGATTAAGTTGAGAAATCCCCATGCAATATGCATTTGTAATGTTCAAAAAAAATAATGCATTTGTCGCATTGATTCTATCAAAATTTCGAAAGTAACTAATTTAGACACGGAAATTAGTATTGTGGCCGGGGTTTAATTAAGGACTAATCAAATGGAACAAGTTTTATTTTTTTAACACTAATTTATTAATCTATTACAAATAATTAGGTATTTACCTGCGTTACACTGCGAGAGATTTTTCTAAATTTTGTATATATTTTTAATATAATAAAATTATTTTTATAATGTAAATAAATATTTTTTATTTTTTATTAGCTTAAATTATATATTTATATATTTTTAATCTGAATAAACATTGTATTTTAATTTTTTTACTTTTTAAAATTATAAATAGTTATTAAATTTGTTTAGCTAACTAACTATAAATGTATATATAAGAATAAAGCAATATATTTTTAAGTACTTTCATGCTAATGATAAATATAATATATTTTCTTCACTAAATTACCATTTGATCCTCCGTTGTATTTATGTAAAGCAAAATACCATTTAAAAAAAGATTTATTAATTAATATGATTATTTTGAAGTATAAAATTTATATATTTATCAAATATTTATTATAAACATATGTTTCTAAAACTACCAAACTATAATCAATAACATTCATATTAAAACCATTGTTGTTGCTTTCGAACCAAACAGAAAATTCTATTTAAACTCTTGAACTTTCGATTTAGTTGAAGTTAAATAATTAAATTTTGGTTACTGTAATCATATTGTAACTTGAAATTTTAGTAAAGAGAAATTTCATCTTCTTACCAAAACCGAGAAATCGCATCTTCCGCCAAAACAAAAAAACTACATATTCCTACGAAAACTGAAAAATCACATATTCCCGCCAAAACCAAAAAATTATTTTATCGTCAAACATAAAATTTTATTTTTCCACTAAAACATAGAAATTGTATTTTCTCGCAAAAACTAAAAAACCACATTTTCCCGCGAGAGACTGTGTTTTTCCGCCAAAACCGAGAAATTACGTTTTTTCATCAAAACCAAAAAATTTCATCTTTCTACAAAAACCCAAAAATCGTATTTTCCCATCAAAACCGAAAAGTTCATTTTTCCATGGAAACCGAGAAATCGTCTATTCCCACCAAAACCAAATAATTTATTTTCTCGTCAATTCAAAAACTACGCTTTCCGATCAAAAACCAATAAACTATAATTTCTCGCGAAAACCAAAACTTAAATTATTTCCTGAGAAATTTTTTTTTTACGAGAACCAAAAAAATCGCATTATTTGTCAAAAACTGAAAATGTACATTTCACATCAAAACTGAGAAATTGCAATTTCTCTCGAAAACTAAGAAATCATATTATCCATCAAAAGTCGAAAATTTGTGTTTCCTATCAAAACAGAGAAATCACATTTTTTAGTCAAAATTGAAAAGTTGCATTTCTCATCACAACCGAAAATCATATTTTTCCGTCAAAATTAAGATATTTTATTTTATCGTCAAAATCAAATTTTTTTTGTTTTCTTACCAAAACTGAAAATTCACATTTTCACGCCAAACTCGAGAATTCGCTTTTCCTACCATAACCGAAAATTATGTTTTCTTACATAAACTAAAAATCACATTTTTCTATCGAAACTAAGAAATCCCCTATTTTCGCCAAACTGATAAATTTCCTATTCCCGTCAAAGCCAAGAAAAATTATTTTCTCGTCAAAACTGAGAAATTGCATTTTTTGCCAAAATCGTCAAATTGTATTTTCTCAAAAAAAACTGTGAAATTGTATTTTCCAGCGAAATGTCAGCCAAAAGTTGAACTATATTAGGATAATAATTTGGGAATCTTTCTACCTAAAAAGAAAGCAAAATAATTATCAAACTTAAAACTAAAAGATTGTTTTCTGGGAAAGTAAACTAAAAAATTGCTAGTAGTATCTTGTTGTTTATCTATATTTTTTTAAAAAGAAGAACGCATAAATTCGAAGCAGCAAGCAGAGTAATAAAATAAGATTGAGGAGACCTGATATTTAATAGTAATTTGAAGGAAAAAGAGAAATTTTGTTTTGTTTTAAATAATTATTTATATCAAAGGATCTTATGGGCTTTCAAATGTAATAGGTTTTATTTAGTTGTTAATCTTGGATAAATTTTTTGACTCAAATGAATTGAAAGTTTTTTTTTAAATGAGCTGTATTAATAAAATATTCTTATTGGTTGATTTTTTTGCTGAGATGTCATGTTGAGAAAGCCTGAAAAAGCTTAGGTGTCATCACGTGGAGAGACTTATGGGTTATTGTTGTGTTGATTTTGAATAAATTCAATATTTTTTTTTTTTTTGTTCACAACAAGTTGAAGTTCAATATCGACATTGCGATATTTGTTGGTATAAACGTTGGGTAATTTCTGCCGCAATGGAAAAATGGATACAACACAAATCAGATATTAAAATAACCAAATTTGCAATTGAAATAATAGAACGATCTAATCATTTTGCCACTTAGCTTGCTCACAAGTCTGTTGATTTTGTAATGATGTGTGGTACCGGAACCAGACTTGGTTTACAGTTTACACTTTCCGTATAATATTATTTTGTCATTTTTCTTAATAAATTCCATGTAATATGACTATAGAAATGATATCCGAAAGCTTTTTTGGCTAACCTTATGAAATGATCAATGTTAAATATGGAATTCTACCAGAGAAATGGAAGAAACCTGATGAGTCACAGCTGGTAGTAGATATGGACGCAAAACATATCTAAAAGATTATGGTATTTTTACCTAATAGCGATTAATATTGACAATATTCAGCCAATGAAACTAATAATGTGAAGATCCAAATAAGAAAGAAGTGGTTCCTTTTCAAAAAATAAGAAGAAAGTGGTTCAAGGGGAGTTGAAATATGTGGTATGGATTTGGTATAATCTATAACTAAGCAACTAACCTTTACCGATATAATTATTTTAAAATGAATTGTTAGTTGACCTTTTTTAAGAGAGCAATTTCCGTTGGAGGTATATGTTTTCTAATCAACGCCTTCAGTCTCTAAAATCTAAAGAAACACAATGTTAAAATGATTTTAGTTGATAAATTTTAAACGTTGATTAGAATAGTCAGGAGTTTAAAGACAATCAAGCTACTACGTATACTAACTAAAATCTGATTTCTACATTATTAAAAAGAAACAATAGAACTATCATTATCAATAGTTAAGTAAACATGTCAACGGGAGGAAGTAGGTTTTAATTTGAACATAAACAGATCTAACATTCCCTGACTTGATAAAGCACTAGCTTAATTAACCCACACCCTATTAATTCCAGATTCTAAGATCGAGATCACCATGGATCACCATGGAAGAAAACGAGCTTAACGAAGAAGATGAAATGAAAAAATATTTGTTATTCACAATTTATTACCGTACAAAATCAGCTAAATACAATACATATATGTACTAGTATTAACAAGTAAACCGAGTTAAGTCTGATAACTAAAACTTAAACTATTCTAACTAAACCACAAATCATAGCCCAATACACCCCCAATCAAATAGACCTTGTATCAAATTAGGTTAGCAATAAATTGACACATTTGATAATAATGCGACTATGTGAGAAATTGAGAAACATGTGCCTTCTTATCTTATTTTTATTTTTCACTTTTTCTCATTTATAGTAATATATTATTCTCGAAGTTTGGAGCTCAAGCCCACACAATCTTTGTGGAGGTTTACAATTCCTTTTGGAACAGGTGTTCCAAGCGAGAATCGGCACTAGGACTAGGAACACGACATTCATTCATTCAATGTACTAGAGCAATATATTTGGTTATATTTATGATCTGTTTTCTGTTAACCGAATAATTATATATCATGGTTTCTTGTAAAATGCTAATAAATAAAAAAATGTTATGTCTTCATGCTTTCTAATAGCCATTTAGGTTTTTGGTTCCTCTGGATTTAATCCTTTTTTTCTTGTGAGTTTCTCTGCTGCTACGTACAGCGTTCAGATCTGCACCATTCTTCAGTTAGGGACATGGCTTTCTTATGTGTGATTCTCTCTTTCTATTGTCACTTTCTCAAAAGTTTTTTTCTGTGACTTTTTGGAACAAATTGCTAATAATTAAATTTTACCTTCGATTAGAATTTAATTATTTTAATTATTTTCAGTTTGAGAATTTTAGATTTTTTTAAGAAGTTAATTATATTGGAAGACACTTTATATTTTTCCAATTACATTTAAAAGCATTTATGAAGAAATATATACTTTGGCCATACAAAAGACCAAATTATCCTTAACTTCATCTTTTTAAGACTACCATTGTTATTGTTGAGGAGAGTTCGGATCAGAGAGAGAGACCCAAAAGGTTTCCATGGTCATTCTAACGTGGACAAAAATGCGATGACCACACGAAGGAGGAGAGAAAAACAAGAGTGATGAAAATAAGAGTGGACATTGAGCCGTGGACAAAAAACCGTGGACAAACTTGTCTATAACTATGCAAGATTATTAAATCACAACAAATACTTATCCATAACAATGTATCCACATAAACGTATTCATACAAACTTATCCATGACTATGCAAGATTATTAAATTTTTGAATCAGGTTTGTAAAATCATCCACAAGATCATATTCACACAACTTTATCCATGAATTTGGGATCGAGATTG